CATGTTTAGGGAGTCTTTACACAAGGTATCAAGCTGCAGAACTACAAAATTTCGTCAATTTTAAGCCACGGGCTGATTTTTGGGACGCGGCCAAAGTCAAGTTAGGATTTCGCCGCTCTTAATGTAGCGACCATAGAAAACATCGTATAACTCCCACACAAGGTCGAATGTTAAACTGCTGTTTAGGGAGCCTTTTCACAATAAATCAAGCTACAAACTCAGAAAATTTCGTCAATTTTAAGTCGCCGGCTGATTTTTGGGACGCTTCCAAAGTCAAGTTAGGATTGCGACGCTCTTAATAGAGCAACTAAAGAAACGCCGTATAACTCACAAAGAGGCCTGATCACCCCCTCGAATATTTCATTAGCAGTACGGAACATTCTGCAAAATTTCCAAAGTTCAAAGAGTTTTTGATTGAAAGGAAGGTTCTTCGAGCAATATTAAACAGCGACCGTGGAGTTTAAACTCAATTACGATTTTCCGATTTGTCGCAAAATGCCACCCTGACATTAACTGGGAACACGAGCGATACGCGAAGCGAAGCGAATCGAAAGAGGCCCCCAGAAAAGTGGATGAGGCGCTCCGCTGCGGCCCCCCATTTTTGATGGGAGCCGTCCGCCCTTTTTATTTCTTTCCGATTGCGGAAACGTCAGCCGATAAAGGTTGACCTGAATTAAATATTATGGCCAGGGCGGTGCATATAGAGACGATTTTAGGGCAATTGAGGTAGATAGGCGAAATGAAACTGAACAAATCAATGGGAATGAAGTGGAAATTCTCCTCAGGCTTTGACCTCAATCGCTTTCCTATTTGAGCTGATTGAAACCCGGCGAACGGGAATTAAACCTCATTATTAGTGTGAGGTAAACATTTTCCTAGTCCACTTCTTCGTTGCATTATTTAGGCAGTCCCGTAGTTTATTGGGAGTTCCCGTTGAAAACGTGCTTTGTTTAAGAACTGACTAATACATACATATACAAATGACTTTTATGAGCTGATTATTCCACCCAAAACAGGCCCACTTTGTACGTAATTCAGCAGGTTTTTTCGCTCGGGCATTGTTTTGCACCTGAATTCGAACAGAAGTGAGGAACTTTTAATTAGCCAAGCATGAGAGTTGAAAATTTTACAGATAATTGATCTTAAGTAGTCAGCAAATACAACTGAGGCTTAACAACACGCCCAGTTACAGCTTAAGCCAACCGCATTGTTCGTGGGCTTCGGTCATTATCTTCCGCATCATAAATAAAAAAACTAAGTCGTCCAATTAGTTCGCAATAAACAGCAATAAACCGCCATTACGCAAGTGCTACAATATTGGCGGTCAATTGGATTCAAATATTGTTTTCAGGGTCGTTTTCAATTGTTTAACTTCAATCGGAAAGACTATTTAAAGATGTGCTAGAAAATCGCTCTGTGGGTTTAGTCCAATAAATCTGGGAAATTTTCCGGTTGCCCCCGTAAGTGGGTTGTTTGGCAGTGCCCCGGGTTGGTTACCAGGGAAACAGCCAGTCGCAACCAATAAGCCGCAGGGTTCGTTGCCCAGTATTATACGAGAGTTATTTGATTAGTTTGATAGACAAATATATTCGATTTCTTGCGCAAAATGACAAACAATGGGCGCGGCGAAAACTTAATTCGGAGACACTGAACGAGCCCTTAAAACCATTACCGGTTCGGCCATGCCTTAAAGTTCGATTTTACTACTTCGCTAGGGCCGGATTCACCTGCTGACTTTGTTTCCATTTCGGAGGATCGATTTTCCGGGAAAATAGCGTAAATTAACCAGATCAAAGTAAAATGCGCAAGAATGGCATCGGTATGAGTGAAAATTTTGGGAGGATGAAAAAGGTGCGTTTCAACTTTGGAAGGTTTCAGAAAGTTTTCTGTCGGGCGAATTGCTCATAATCCAATCCGTATCTGGTTGCGAATGGATTTCAACCTGGATTCGTATGACTGATATAAATGGATTTATTACTGACGCTTGACTAGCCACGTTCTCTGATTGGTAATTTATTATCTTCCCTGGAGTGCGGCCCCAAACCATGCCTTGGCGTATTTTTAGAAATACAGCAATTCATTGTCTTTCGGTCACTTTTTCCCATAGTTCACAAAAAATCCACTTCTGGTTCAAGTGAACAGAACCAGCGGGTTAAACCGTCGCCCAAGAGCGGTTACGATGGCTTTATGTAACACGGCATTTCGTAAAATCGTTCGGTTTATTGTAGATTGTAGTAGCATTAATCGAGAATTTCAGCACCTGAATCCGTATTTATGCGAAAACCTTGATGATATTCCAGGTGAAATGGAATCAGGTTTCCAATTAGATAAAATAGTTGCTGAATGCATCGAAAGTGCAACTGGCTGATGATGTTTTCAGCCTGTTTTGCGCTTCCTAATGAATAATTTTAGGGCAATTTAAGGGCTTGTCGGGCCAAGTGGAAAATAACGTCTTCCTGGCGTTGCGCCAAAAAGTGGCTACTCTGTACGCATTTTTGCAGCCCCTGAAGATGCGAGCCGCTTGTGCTTGCGAAACTCCAGGAAACCATAAAATTCTCCTACAAAAAGCGTACTAACTCTTGAACAAATCACAATATTAAAAACAATGAATCAGTGTTATTTTTCGCTGTTGCGTAAATTTACGCGGCAAAGAGCGCGTTGATTTTTTGCAATCGTTTACTCAAATTTGTACACAGTGTAAACACTGAAGACGGCAATATTTAGACGGAATTTCACTCAAATAGGAGCATCGGCTCATTTTTCGCCATCGTTTATTTTGAAACTTGCAAAGCAAATCTCCAACATTCGTACACATCCACAAAGAAAAATTCATAACTCCCCAACCAATTGGAGTAGCAACCTCAAATTTGTACAGAAGATGCGAGCCCCTTGTGCTAGCGAAACGTCAGGAAATAATAAAATTATCCTACAAAAAGCCTACTAACTCTTGAACAAACCACAATATTATAAACAGTGAATCAGTGTTATTTTTCGCTGTTGCGTAAATTTACGCGGCAAAGAGCGCGTTGGGTTCGCGCAATTAGCCATGAGATGGTGGAGAAAGATTGGGGAAAAGAAACGTTGGGCTCAAAAATACCAGCAATTCGCACTTAACCTCGGCGTGAACGTTTCTTGTGCAACTGCGTTTAAGGATTTGCATAAGTTTGGGACAGAACGCGACAGTAAAATGTAGTTTTCTACTAACCAGAGTTAAAATCGGGGATTTTGCTTATTTGCGGAATGAAACATGGCCCAGAACGTGATTGTCGATTAACATCCCAAGGGGTGTTGCAAGGTGAGCCGATTGAAAATTCAACTCAATCTGAAACGTACGAAAATCGAATGGAAATTCGTTCTTTATCGACCAAAATAAATAATTCAAACGAAGGAATTGCCTATTTTCTACAAGCCATTCGATTAAATTAGAGGGATATCGGCCACTGAATATTAATAATCTCCGGTTTGAGGGCTTGGCGAATACTGGCCTAAAATATTGCAGCTTTTAACGCTTTTCTTGCCGGTTGGTTTATCACCGAAAGAAGCAAAAACACTTGCGTGCCGACTGGCCAAATCAAACTTCGTTCAATAAAACCACCCGATTCACAGAGGGTTTTAAGCTTCCCTTCGATTTAAGCGTTGCATTGCAAATAGGCCATGATTCCATCCAGTACGGCTGAAATCGAGCTTTTTATTAGCGAAAAACACCTGTTTATCACTCTTCTACCTAGCGAAAATATATTGATTTTAATAACACATGTGTGTATCTAAACGATAATTGCCTGACAAATTATGGACATTTAACGTGTCTGGATACAATAAGGTGTGTTGAATGTACAATGGCGTCATTACTGGACTAAATCGCATGCTCTTTCCTGTCGATAGACAAACTTGAAAAATAATCTACACAGGGTGAACCAAGGTGAAGGTTTAATGTAGACTGTGACCACATTTTCGCCCCTTACTTCTGCGCCACTGCCTCAAATGGAAGTGCAAAAAAATATTTTGAAAGGCCATTGATTTCTCTGCAAAATTTCTCCTTTTTTTTGTAAAACGGCTGATTGTGTGTGTCTTTTTTCCAGCGGCGTGGAAGGTAGGAGCAAAACAAACCCGCTCAAACCCCAAATCGACGCCTCTGGCTTATGAAGAACTGCGTCTTAGCGCCGGTGAAGTAGCTAGAAGTACTGGAAAAATATGTGCGAAAGCTCACTACTCTATACAGGGTGTCTGTAAAATGCGTTAGGAATTTTTTAAGGGCGATTCTACCTTCTAGAATAATGGTGGAAAGTAATGTAAGAAAAATTCGAAATCGGAGTGTTTCCGCTCTCCAAACTATTTTTTTGCACTTCTTTTGAAAATGTATTTGCTAATCAAATTGAAAATTGGCACAAAATTTTATATTAGTAATCTTTATTTTCTGGTGAAAAATGTGTCTGCACGTTACCCCTAGATGGCACTTTACCACTAGGTACCTGAAATTCAAATTTCATTCTTCGCATATCGTCTTTGGCTCGTCAAATATCGCAACAATTACTGACAAAAAATGCGCCTTCACACGACTCGAAAAACCTCTTCGACATCAAAGTTTTTATCACGATTTAGATTTAATCGGAGTAGCAGCAAATCAAGTCTGGATTCAAAATGTGCCAAATTTGACAATTTATAATCATTATTCGCGAGTTCAACTCCCGATCGGGGCGCTGCTTAACGGCAAATCACTTGTTGTCGAGTGACAGTTGAGACTTGTCAGACTTGACATTTATAACATAAAACAATGTTAATGTCATCTAAACAAGTGTCAAAGTACTACTTACTTGTAGTTATATTTTAGCCACCAGGAGCGTCTGGACTTGTGCTGGGGCGTGCCATCTAGTGGTAACGTAGGGACCCAAAAACGTTTATTTTGCAAATTTTGCAGTTTTTTATTTGCCACTCTGTACAAAATTTGTCTTAGATGCTTAATTGTTACCGAAACATTGGCTAACAACACATGGGGCTCAAAAACGCTTCAAATACAAACCAAATCAGAATTTGTCGACTTCCAAAGTTGGGGCAAAAATGTAGCGCCGCGGCCAGACGTAGCGAGCCGAGCTTGCGCCGCGGCAAAATGTTCATTTGTTGAGCAGTTTACTTTTCTGGTAAAGCTAACATTACTAAATACCTGCAAACGCACTTATCAGCATTAATCGCATGTGAAATGGTGATTTAACTATTTTTGTACGGTGACCACTACTATGTGGGATCAATAAACTTGATGTGGAAGGTGCACGTCGTGGACTCAGTCAGATCGTAGAAGAATTAAGAACGCAGAAGCAAAAAATTAAGGGCTCGAAACAGGAAAAACTCACCGTCCAACCAATAGTAGCGCGATAGAGGTAAATATAGACATTTCTGTCAGTGCAACTTGTCAAAACTACAAACTTTTGACAACTGACACACGTTGAAAGTCCCAATTTGACACAGTGTCATAACTGACAGTGAAGTATGCGTTTGTCGCTTATCTAGTGAATCATGTGTTGTTTGGGAGGCAGAAACAATTATAACACAGTATCTGATCCTTTAATTGGAAAAGCGATAAGTATAGACGGGCCACTTGAAACATTTAGGTGGAAATTGCGGCTTGATATGGCGATATCATCATTATATGATGGCAATTGTACATAAATGACTGGCGCTGTCGAGATAGTTGTATTCACTTTCTACTATTTGCGCGATTTGGTGCGGCATAGACCTACGTGGTGGAACATTAACGTGCGTGCCTCACACTGGAAAACGGGCTCAGTTTTTGTTTTTATGGAAATTCAGTTCGCTGATGGAGGGCTTGGCAGTTGTGTATGTGGTTTTTATCAGCTTAATTTGTTAAGTTTTTTAAGTTGCTGGCAAGTAAACAGCCCCTTGAATGTCCGTGAGCATCGGGCTCTAAGGCGGGTTTAGAGTGGCGAAAATGAGCCCAAAGTGAAACGGTTTCTGGGAAAAATCAATCACAAATTGACCGCTAAAAAGGTTGCAAACAGTCGCAGATTTCCAGGAAAAAGGTCGTAAACCTGGAATGACGCACTTTTTTCGCTTTTCCCCCCGGTTTATAGCTGGGCGCTGAAATGCTGTCTGGCCGGGATTTGTGAAAGAAAATGTTCGCGATGTTTGGGATTAGCAGCAGCGCCAGTGCTGTAAATCTTTCAGATAGTGAGGATAAGTGAAGTTTGGAATAATATTGATCAACGGGAAATTCAATTTTTTATCTTAGATTGTATGAGTCCATAGTCCATTCAAGGTAATCTAGAGGCGCAAAGATAATCACATAAACTGTTTTTTGATGAAAAAGCCAACCACGTCTGTAGGTGTGCAAAAATCGCTTACGGGAGGGCCCAAAAGCCGAAAAATTCACCACTTCAAACTCTTCTTTCTTCGTCTTTTTCATTCTTAAACTGAGTTCTCAGTCTTACAAGCCTTAGGAACTTTACAGCAAATTCAAAATAGTGTGAAAGTTCCCTTTTTCTCACATGTAATTAGGCTGAAACACACACTTAAACGCCGTTTACTGTGGACTAAAACGTGGTTTTACAACTGTGCGAAGATAACAATGTTGTTTTGCCGAAAAGTTCTCCAAATGCAAATAAAAGCGACAGTAAAAGAGGATTTTATCGTTTGAAATGCCTAAATTGTGAGCAGCTCAGTGTCCCATCCAGGCTGAAAATTTTTTTCTCCCGGTTTACGTTCTACGGTTTGCGTCCATTACTAAACCAGAAACTGGACAGTCCCCGGCATAAATAACAACAAAAACGGAATAGAATCCGCTAATCCCATGCGCATATGAAAAACTCGCCCCCCAATCAGGGTGTCCCTAATCGCTTTTCCATTATCTTTGGTCATTCCGCGGACGGCGAATATGGACAGTGGTTGTTCTTTTCCTTTTTGTTAGCGACGCGATTTTTCACATTTTCCGGGAAATTTCAAGTGATTTGCCTCAGAATTGGGAATTTTCCGAAGATTTTCTCGCAGTGCCAACAAATCGTTTAGTTTGATAAATGTTTAGATCATCTAGAGCGGTAAGAGTAGTTTATGTGATTGCGTGCTAAAAAGCTCAGACGTGTCTTATGAAGACCACTACGAAAAGCCAATCGCTGGTAGATAGGAGCATCGGTCGATATTTGAAACTTGCCAAGCGCATCTTCAAAATTCTTACACATCCACAAAGAAAAATTCATGACTCCCCAACCAATTGGAGTAGCAACCTCAAATTTGTACACAGTGTAAACACTGAAGACAGCAATATTCAGACGGACTTTCACTCAAATAGGAGCAGCGGCTGATTTTTCGCAATCGTTTATTTTGAAACTTGCAAAGCGGATCTTCAAAATTCTTACGCATCCACAAACAAAAATTCATAACTCGCCAACCAATTGGAGTAGCAACCTCAAATTTGTAAACACTGAAGACAGCAATATTTTGATATTTTTGATCGACCCCAATGTTTAGATCATCTAGAGCGGTTAGAGTAGTTTATGTGATTGCATGCTAAAAAGCTCAGAAGTGTCTTATGAAGACCACTAAGAAAAGCCAATCGCTGGTATCTTCCAGTTATTGAACTTTTGTTACATTTCTGAAGGATTTTGAAAATTTCTCTGGATCGTTGCATTCCATATTGGATTTTCCCGCTTTAAGTTGTCCATCTTCAATAAATGTTTTATTCCAGTGTTAATTTCTTTTGACTAGGTTTTTAATTTTTTGTTTATGGAACTTTGACGAGTATTTTCTTATTTTCCGTCATGTCTTCTTGTCGTTTCTTTATTCCTTAGTTTGTGTGCTATTTTCGTTGTTCCTTTTTCATTATATCTTACTTTTGGCGTTGTTTTCGCCTTTTGCTTCTTCTCTCTTCCTCCAAACAAACGATTTTCGTTTAGCTCGCTCTCGTATTTCAATGAAAAACACTCTCTGCATCTTCAGGCTCTTAATTATATGGGTGAAAAAGTAACAAAAATCCGTAGGAAATGTCGTATAAATATTCCCCGCAAACGCTTAGTATTCGAAATTGAATAAGTTTTTTTGTCCTAATTTTTGCAATTTTTCACACATTTAGCTGACATTTTCGGAGTAGATTTCTAGGGTCTACATCGTTCAAGAAGCAAAAGGCTGTAAAAATGTACAGGGTGATATGAGTTTGCAAATTTTTTGCCCTCCTACATTTTTGGCGTATCTGCCGCCGTTTTTGAGTTATTTGCAAATGAATAAATGAATCAAACAATAAAAGTTCCTGTTAATCACAAATTTAAGGAAAGAAAGTAAAAAACTGCAATGCGCGAGTTTTCCTGGCAGGACATTGGCTTTAAAGCGTACTTTTTGATGGATATTGCATGTTTTCGCTGAAAATGGTATCACTTGCCGCCTGTTGTGTAAAGCTCTAAATGTATTCCTTGCAGCCTAAAATCAGCATAAAAAAGCCATGGTTCTGTGAATAATCAGATCCTTATTAAACAACAGGTTTCTGTATAGTTTTTCCAGTTATCAACATTCAGGTGGGGGCTGGAATAGTTTCACTCATGCGGCTGGACATCAATAATTTACGTTTGTCCATTCCCAGGTCACCCTATTATCCTTAATAGAATACAAACGGTACTTGCAAATGTTTGTCTTCCGTCGTTTTATGCAAACCGGACTAGAGCGAGTCATTGGTACATGTTTGCCTTTGCATATTAGCAATCTGAACTCTTCTGGCGCATTACATGGACGAACATTAATTACTTTCGACTGCAAAAGGACGCTGGGTGTTTGTCACGAATGAGCGTACAAGATTCTCCAATTTTCATATCCTTTTCCGAGCGAAATGCCATTTAATTAGAAGTAGACAAATTCTATGTGAGCACGCGAATGCTTCCGGTTTTGCCTATTTTTTGTCACCGTTAAGCGCTAGAATGGGATTGTCACTTAGCCACTTGAAGAAAAATTGCGCTTCAGTTAATTCTTGTAGATATTTGCTTTCTTCGTTAGTCGTTAAATGTTGGGCGGTCATTGGATGAAACTGTGAAGTTTTGCGGGCTTTTAAAAAACAGTTTCATCCCGACGTTTCGCACGCACTAACGGCTCGCATCTTCAGAGTGGTGGTGTGCCGAGAAAACTACCTCTGAAGATGCGGGCGAGCCCATTTTCCAATTCGACCAAAATTTGAACATCGGCTGAGTTTTTACAATTGTTTATTTTGATACTTGCCAAGCAAATCTCCAAAATTCGTACACATCCACAAAGAAAAAT